GGCAAAAGTTGGAGGCCCCTGAAAATAGGAGGCCCCCTGGAAAAGGAGGCCCCTTGACAGGGTGGCCCACCCACTTTTCATGACGTTCCTACGCCCGTGTGGTGAGATGGGGTCATAACTTTAGAGACGGCTGTTTCATATCAGTTATTTTACATAAAATAATATTTCAAACCATAAATTAATGTTCGACAGCCAAATTAAAGAAACAATACCAATACAGGCTTACAGTTTAAATTCGACATTGTGTTGTCTACGATTAGACAGCTGATAACTCATTCCCGTACGTCGTAGCTCTATAATGACCTTTGCTTATTGTCACATGTGCGCCGCATTCGCGATTGTTACCGACGCCTGTTTGCAGGTCAGCCCACTACAGTTGTTATACATATCGAAAAACCGATAAACTTTTAGGCGAAAAAAACACTATTTTAGGCCCATTTTTGATTTTTTTTTGCGATATTAGGTACAAACAGAAGCTTCTTATCCTAGGAAATATAAAATGGGAAATCATTGGAAGGTGGCACACTACCTTTAATATAAAAACTATGGGAGCCAACCTCATAACAAACTACCTTCAGTGAAAAGCTATGACTGGATGTGAGCAGTATTTTATATCACATTTCTATGCACACTGACAATATCTATGCAGTTATTTTCTTTGTAATATAATTCATATTTGCAAGGCTGCAAAAATTAGACATGGCGTACCATCGCACACGATTCTCATTATGTCAAAATAAGCAATCATAAAAAGATACCACAGAGTGACATGATAAGCATCAGAATCATTCAAGGCCATTGCATTCATATTTGTTTGAGATCTAATTCACGTTCAAACCATGACAACTTCATTGGCTTTGCAATGATTTACCAAAACTGACACTTCACTAAAGGACATGATGTGGAGTTTGCTAATGTAATAAATTGAATGAGGACTTTACTCCACAAGAAATCGTTCGGGTCGGAGCTTTCGAATTGTATTACAAAGCTTCGTCAGCGTATCGTAATCGGGTTCGGGGGTATCGGTCGCAAAATTGAGCTTTGTAATACAATTCGAAAGCTCCGACCCGAGCGATTTCTTGTGGAGTAAAGTCCTCATTCAATTTATTAACCCTCGCCGGCCGAGGGGGGGGGGGGGTGCCGCCCCCCCCCATAGGGTTTTTTCGCGATAGCTCCGAACACGCTGGCGATAGAGAGCTGAAACTTGGCATACCTGACCTTTGATCCAAGCCGGATCTTTTGACACCAACCGCATTTTTGGGTCAGGTCAGGTCACTGACCTATGACGTCATAAGTGAACCTCTGCACGGTCTTCAGATGTCGCAACTTCGCAACGCCCTCACTGCCAGAGGAGATGTCACAGGGAAATGAAACTTGCAGGATCTAGTATCCATTATGAGTCCCACAACTTGTATATCTCGGATTTTTCCTAAAGGTCATATGAGGTCAGGTCATTTTCGTGACCTCACCATTATAAGTCAATGGGGAAAAATGAAAACTGCTATTCTGGCGCCGGGAACGATCTCAAACTATCTCAAGCACACAGAATCGTGATTTGATGCACTCCTTGCAAGGTTAGATGCGTCATTTTTGCAATGTTGACCTTGCGTGACGTCATTTATGACGTCATCAAGGTCATATTAGTTTTTCGTCAATAACTCATGATCAAATTGAGCTAGCGAGTCGAGAAAGCCACCAATGGACTCAGGAAGGCCTGCCAAATCGAATGATATGCGACATGACCTCTTTCGACCAACTTCGTGACCTGGGGGTGCTGACCTGACCTTGACCTGAGGTCAACACCCCAAGTTGACCTGACCCGGACAAAAAGTATATCATTCGACGCGCCTGAGCGAGGCGAACACGATACTGCCAAAATCGGCGCTCTGCGGCCGTTTTTTGCGAAGCTATTCACCAAAAACTGAACCGTACCTTGGGGCACTTGACCTGACCTCAGAGGTCACCGGTTGACCTAGGACCTTAAAATCGGGTACCAATCTCTGCGTCTCGTAACGGCGCACACGCTCGTTTTTTTCCGCGACGCGCTAGCTCCACCAGGGGCGAAACGGCGAGGGCGGGGGGGGGGGTCGTACCCCCCCCCCCCTCGGCCGGCGCGTATGTAGAAAACCAATAGGTCCGGCGAGGGTTAAAACTGACACTTGTCAGGTTTTCAATTATGTATTCATCATCAACAAATTCGCTTTGTAGGTAAGTACTTAGTCAGTTACACATGTCAGTTAGACAAGAAATTACCTTAATAGCTACTTTATCTAACCATTTGAGAATCTTTCATTACGGAGCGAGCGAAGCGAGCGTAGTCTTTCCTTAGACCAGTATAGCGCCTTTTGGGGCGACTAACGGAGCGAGCGAGGGGGTGAGTCTTGCACGTGCGAAATTTCGAGGGGGTACCTCCAACTGACTTGTGCACGGCACCCTACTGACCGGTTTCTAGCAATGTGCCAAATTTGAGCACAATCGGCCCAGCCGTTCTCGAGATCTGGGAGCGGCACCCTGCACGTGCGCACGTGCAAAATGGGTCCCAACTGACTTGTGCACGGCACCCTACTAACTGGTCCCTAACTGTGTACCAAATTTGAGCGCCATCGGTCCAGCCGTTCTCGAGATATGGAAATGACCCCTGCACGTGCGCACGTGCAGCAGCACCCCAACTCTGGCACATGGATATGCAGTGCCTAGTGGGTGCCTACCTACATGCCAACTTTCAGCGCAATCGGCCAAGTAGTTACCGAGATATTGCAACAATTACAAAAGTGACACCTCTTCGTTTTGCACGTGGCACGTGCATAAGGGGTCACCCACATGCATCGGGAATAGTCCAATACTTGGTAGAAGGAATGAAGCTACCCTACAAAAATTACCGCATGTAAATCGGTCAAGTGGTTGCTGAGATATAAGCCTCGCAAAAGCGTCCGCACGGCCGGCCGGCCGGCCGGCCGCTCATACTCAGAAATTTCCGTTATTCTACGTAAGACTCCGCTCGCTTCGCTCGCTCCGTAATTAACGGAAATTTCTGAGTATGAGCGGCCGGCCGGCCGGCCGGCCGTGCGGACGCTTTTGCGAGGCTTATATCTCAGCAACCACTTGACCGATTTACATGCGGTAATTTTTGTAGGGTAGCTTCATTCCTTCTATCAAGTATTGGACTATTCCGATGCATTTGGGTGACCCCTTATGCACGTGCCACGTGCAAAACGAAGAGGTGTCAGACTTGTGATTGTTGCAATATCTCGGTAATTACTTGGCCGATTGCGCTGAAAGTTGGCATGTAGGTAGGCACCCACCAGGCACTGCATATCCATGTGCCAGAGTTGGGGTGCTACTGCACGTGCGCACGTGCAGGGGTCGTTTCCAGATCTCGAGAACGGCTCGACCGATTGCGCTCAAATTTGGTACACGGTTAGGGACCAGTTAGAAGGGTGCCGTGCACAAGTCAGTTGGGACCCATTTTGCACGTGCGCACGTGCAGGATGCCGCTCCCAGATCTTGAGAACGGCTGGGCCGATTGTGCTCAAATTTGGCACATCGCTAGAAACCGGTCAGTAGGGTGCCGTGCACAAGTCAGTTGGAGGTACCCCCTCGAAATTTCGCACGTGCAAGACTCACCCCCTCGCTCGCTCCGTTAGTCGCCCCAAAAGGCGCTATACTGGTAGTATTAGTGTTTACAACATTTCGATACCTATCACTGACAGCTATAAGCTTGTATTGACGAATTTAAGCCCTAAGATTCGGGCTCAGTTACCCTGCTTAAAATTTTTACGGAGCGAGCGAAGCGAGCGGAGTCTTTCCTTAGATTAACGGAAATTTCTGAGCATGAGCGGCCGGCCGGCCGGCCGGCCGTGCGGACGCTTTTGCGAGGCTTATATCTCAGCAACCACTTGGCCGATTTACACGCGGTAATTTTTGTAGGGTAGCTTCATTCCTTCTACCAATTATTGGACTATTCCCGATGCATGTGGGTGACCCCTTATGCACGTGCCACGTGCAAAACGAAGAGGTGTCAGTTTTGTAATTGTTGCAATATCTCGGTAACTACTTGGCCGATTGCGCTGAAAGTTGGCATGTAGGTAGGCACCCACTAGGCACTGCATATCCATGTGCCAGAGTTGGGGTGCTGCTGCACGTGCGCACGTGCAGGGGTCATTTCCAGATCTCGAGAACGGCTGGACCGATGGGGCTCAAATTTGGTACACGATTAGGGACCAGTTAGGGGTGCCGTGCACAAGTCAGTTGGGACCCATTTTGCACGTGCGCACGTGCAGGGTGCCGCTTCCAGATCTCGAGAACGGCTGGGCCGATTGTGCTCAAATTTGGCACATTGCTAGAGACCCGTTAGTAAGGTGCCGTGCACAAGTCAGTTGGAGGTAGCCCCTCGAAATTTCGCACGTGCAAGGCCCACCCTCTCGCTCGCTCCGTTAGTCGCCCCAAAAGGCGTTATACTGGTGATAGGTACTAAGGAATACATATCAATTTGTTATCCGTCAAAGTTCCAAATGATTTCTGTTAATGGATAATCTTACTTGCTAGTAACTGCTACCTTGCTGGAAGATTACCTGTCTTAATCATCTGTCAGACAGTTCAAATTAAGTTAAGGTGTTGAGTGGTGAATTGACACCTCCCCCGGAAATTTAAATGGATGGCAATGGGATGAAGGACATGCATTGCTAATTCGCTTCAGAGGCGTATTTGCAGGGCTCTAATGATATTTTTTTGGATACCAAGGCCTTTCTCACCAGGCAGCACCAAGGCTAATCTTACAACAGTGTAACAATTGAGAGGGCGTGGGCCCCATGCCCCTACCTGACCTACATAAACCATGGAGGCACCAATGGAGTGAGTGAAGCATTTCTGCGTGTCATTCAGGCCAAAGTAAGCAAAATCCTATTTTAATGATGGGCCTGTCACTGGTTGTCCTGATAATCAGTACTTATTTAGTTATTTAGTCCATATGTCCAAAACAACCAGCCATAAATAAGCAAACACCAAAAAAGAAAGGCTATATTCCATTTACCCTTACCTAACATATACTCCTTCCCGTTCCCAGCATGCGAATCCCCAGAAACGTGTTAGGTTGGGTTAGGTTTGTTTGATACAATTTTGGATGGGTTTGGGCCGGCCCCTATGTACCTACTCACCTAGTGGAATCTGTACCGCCGCTGGATGGCAGCGATGAAGTCTGGCCACAAGGAATCCTTGTGGCGTTCCCGCCACATAAATTCGTCGAGATATGACGAAATCCTGTCGACACCTTTAACGTTCTTCCTCCTGAGCAGCTGTTTGACTCGTGAGAAGTACGCTAGCACGTGGTTGGTATGCGTACCATCTGGTGCCATGAAGGTCTGAGAGTGATTCACAGTTTTGTGAATGTAACCGGCCGCTGTCAGTGAAGCGTAGCTTCGGCGTTCGTCGGTGTGGATTTCTGAGCCCAACTCCACCTTCGACACGATACGGGGGACTATTTCTTCTCGTTTGCGATTTGGAATGAACTCTAGTATGCCAGTCTTTGTCTCCACTTCATACATGCCGAGCACCCAGCAGGTCTCACGGGCGATGGGCTGGCCCCGGTGGTACCTCCTGTGTCCCAGCACAGTCTCATCTACCACAACAAGTTTGCCAGGGCCTCCAATTTTCCCCCTGGTTTCTTCCATGACATTCTTTGACATCACATCGCGGAAAAATTGGAGCCAGTCCGTGACGGTTGCTACGGCTGGTGGATTGCTCACCATTGAACGGATGTCCGTTACGTTCAGATTCTGCCTCACATAAAGATAAGCCATCTTCAGAATCATCATGGGCTCAACGTGTGACCGATCAAAAAGGCTTGCCTTGCGGAATGACTCGACCTTGTAACACTTGGGACATCCCCAAGCCTTTCCGAAAACCGCATCAAGGCCGAACACACGTTCCTTCATCCGTTTCGACCGGCAGCAGTGTTTTCCCATTCTGCGGATGAGCCGGTTGTTTTGCAACAACGCTTTCAGTTTTTCAGGGGTGTCTGTTGCCGCGCTCAATAGGACGAGTGCCTCGAACGATTCTATCTCTTTGAGATCCATAGTTGCGCGAAACACTGTAAAACTTCAGTTTTTTACATCAAAGAAACACAATTTTGATGATGAAATATCAATTCAGTTGGGCAAACTGGACCTCTGGAATCAAAATATGGAGGCATCAATAATTTGATTCTGGTGGGAGGAGCCATGACCATATATGAGCATGGAATCCATTTTGTATTCATTTTGGTACGGGGACCCGCAGTTGCTACTGTACACGAACCCCAACTCTAGCCGTCTGTCCTGTCCAGTAACAGCCGATAACATTGATATCGACTGCCGGTCCCTGTACAAGAGCAGCTGAGTTTTCAGTGCGTGCCCTCTGACAGCTTATCGTTGTTCCCTGTGAGGGTGCTGGGACGATTTACTCAGGGTCGCTGTACAGTAGCAACTGTGGGTCCCCGTACACTTTTGACTTCAAATGTATCGTTAGTGTTGAAAAAAGGCCCATGACCGTGATATTTTTGTTTAGATAGGTTGTTTAGATTGGTTTAGATAGATATTCCATGACGTTTTTTTTCGTCTAGCAGATTTTCGTCAAACAATTATTCGTTCGCAGATTTTTGTCCACCTTTTTTTGTCTCACATTTTTTCATCCCTACATTTTTTCGTCGGCACAATTTTCCGTCTGTACCAACAATTGTTCATCGGACATCTTTTCGTCAGTACCTATATTTTTTCATCTGTGCTTTTTTTCGTCAGGACATTTTTCGTCTAAGAACCTTTTTTTAAACAACACACTGGACATTTATTTGTCCAAACACGTAAACAAACGTAAAATAGTAAAGGGAAACATTGGGTGGGATCAGGGATGGTGAATGGTGAACACACAGAGCAGAATTTAGAAGTTGACCAAACCTTACCTAACGGCTAACCTTACCTACTGATTTCTGCCTACTGGGGGATAAAGAAAAAGTTACTTGCATGAATAGATTGCAAGCAATGGCAAGTCAAATATTTTTAGGTTAAGTGATTATGCATCAGGATTCAGGCTTCAAGCCTTTGGCCTGAAGCCAGATACACAACCACTTAACCTATAAATATTTGACTTACCATTGTCTGTGATCTCTCCGCATTGCCTTTGGCACTGCACTGGTTTGCCTTGCCCCAAGTACCTTTTATTATGATATGATATCACTTGCCTCAGTCAAATAGCATCATGGTGTGCTTTCACTGAACCTTGGAGTTGTAACAGTGGGTGCACAGACGTAGAATTTATTGGATGAAAAATGTCTGGACAAAAAAAAATGTACAGACAAAAAAATGGGTGGACAAAAAAGGTACCTACAGACGAAAAATGAAATCCCCTCATTAATACAGTACACTGCACCAAATTCTGTCTTCTGTTCCACTGTTGGGATTTGAACCTGCAACCCCCCGTCGTCATGCTTGGTAATCTCTCCCTCATCAATAGAAAACATACATTGATAGTACATCCGAGACGTAATAAATTCACTAAATTGTGACACACTAGCTAGCGCCAGTCTCAAGGTCACAGACCGTCACACTACCTCCAGCCAGTGCCACATAGACAGAAGTGTTACGCCTGCATTGCAACTACCTGAAATTTTGTCCAGACACCCTATTGCTATAGGCTCCTCAATCTGTTGGTGCTGAGAATGCCACTAAATGAGAATAATAGCAAAATAATGTATTCTTGCAAGCCATTGCTGCATATTTGCAGCAAATATCATTCTGCATATTTTGCATATTTGTGAATCAAAAAATGATTAGCCAGCTGATGTAACTCAATATTTTGATTAGGTAGGTATCTGTTCAACGCAAATCAATTTCTTGGTTAGGTACCTTTCACTACCTGTAGAATGCAGATTGTTATGATAAGAGCAATAATAACATACTCAGTAGATAGTTCCAACATTTCTGTTCAAGACCAGACATGCTCCTTCTTGAAACATTTGCTCATTTTTATATGATTGGTAATTTAGACATTGTCTGCATTTATGTGACGTCCAAATCAATGGTCAAATGGAATCAATTTTTTGATGCTTCCATTTCTTTATTCCAGAAGTCTATAGCCCAAATGAATCCTCCATGGCCAATTCCATCAAAAACAGATTCAAAACATTTTTATTCCCCACACTTACCGAAATACAATAAATAAATCACCCCACACCATCCGTTGTAGACATCAGGGTATATTGAGTGAAGGGTAGGACGAAGTTTGGTAGGAATTTCTAGTATAACTACTAGAAAACCTACTATATGTGGTCGGGACTAGCAAAAAGTTAGTTCAAACTAGAATATGGTAGCGCTTATGGTTTGCAGTCGTGACGCGCACGTGACATTCATTTCTTAAATTTCTTAAGTAACAGGTTTTAGGGGCCGATTAGTGCGCAGACACATTCAATTAGCTATTAATAATTGATTACGCAAACATTCAAGATTCTACATCATTCAATTCTAGCCGAAATCATACAGCGCTCCCAGGATTCGAACTCACGACCCTCGGATCCGTAGCCCGATACGCTACCGACTGCGCTACTGAGGACCGCGCGCCGACGATCGGAGAGGCGGATAGCGGGTGCTGGCGTGCAGAGAAATCTTTACCCTGTACGCCGTAGAAGATCGGCTGGGTTTCGTGAAAAATGGTAGAGGAATTGTCGAAAGAAAATTCATCGATCTATCATTTGAGACTAAGAACCATTGATTCCTTCAAAGGTTGACCGAGATATCGCTCGCCGAAAACAGGCCATTTAACATGTAAACCCTATGGGCTGGTAGGAAATGTACGCCGTGGAGCAGCAGTGCTACCAACGAACTTCGGCGGTAGACATCACGCAACGCAACACGCCCAGCACGCGCCTTGCACGTGCACGCATGCGTCACACTAACGTAACAACTGCGCCATTTTCACTGTCAGGCGTCATGAAATGTGTTTCAATGACGTCAATATAATATCATCACTGAATAATCAGAAATTGATCTGAAGTTACTTTAATGTACGTGTTGTTGATGTTAGTTTTTATTTGATTAAATATTTAAAATACACATCTGTCATAACGTAGCAAACAAAAAAGATTAGACATCAATTTTATATTCACTTGTCTCAAAAGTCATCCTCACCATTACCGCGTTCGATGTCTCTCGGACGACGAAGATTCTACGTCATTCGGCCAATCCCGTTCAAGGTCAGCGAGGGCTGGGCTGCAGTTATGAAACGTGATTGGCCGGACGGCGTTGAATCTTCGTCGTCCGAGAGACTTCAAACGCGGGGTTAGACATTAGACAACCAAAGATGACCTTTTCGAAACTCGGTTGTCTGCTTCCTTGTTTTTGTCATAGCTCGGGGCAGCTCGGGCCTCGGGGCGTCTGCTGAGTGGGGTCAGTGGGGGCCGGTGCAAGGCCATCTGGCCGGTGGGGCATGCTGCTGAGTGAGTATCGTCATGGTATCGTGGTCTGCCGTGTGGCTTTTGGCTTTTGGCTTTTGGCAATGCAAAATTTGTATTTATAGTCACCGTGGCTCATTTGGTATCTTAAGGAATCTTGGGTCGGAACAGAACAGTAGCAACCGAATTCGGCGATATTCAATCAATTTCGGTGGCTAACTATTTAGAAGTAGACAGAGACTTCTCGCCTACAAAATAAGATTGTTGGATCATTTTTTGGAGCAACGTTTTTTCAAGGTTTGTTGCCACTGATTGTGATTGTGTGAACTTACGTAGCCCCCGGCCCTCCGCCCTCTCATTAATGTGGCCGAATATTCCGTTCGCATTCGCCAGCGATGAGCATGATTTCATGTTCGTACTTTCTGTGAGTGAAACAAAACATTGCAATGCATAATTTTCATCAAGCAAGACCTAATATAACTGCAGAGGTATACCTGCTTAAAACGAAGACGGCGGAGAACAAAACCAGGCCGACAGGGTAGGTACGCGAGGCGACCACTGAACTTCTGAACAAACGACCACTGAACAATGCCGACTGGGTCGAGTTCGGGATGTCATGTGAGGCGGCCCTCTCCGTTCCCCCCCCCCCCCCCCACACAGGCCACGGCTCAACTTCTGGCCACCCGATTCACCTCAGCTGTCCAGGACGCCGCGAAGGAGTTCATCTCCCGGGGAGCTAGAAAAGACTCCAAGCCGCGGGCCCTCCACCCGGACCTCCAGCAGGCGATCCAAGAGCGCCGGGCAGCCAGAGACAACGTGAAGTCGGGAGACCCCCAACGAGAACCCGCTGGACCGAGGCTAAGCACCGGGCCAGCCAGGTGGAAAAACGAGTAGCCAGGGAGCAATTCCGGGACTTAGTAAGCACGGCGAGCTAAACCGGCCTACCAGCGTGGGCCAGTCTCCCGGCTCCTGGCGCCGTGGACGACGACCACCGAGAGGGCGAGGCGATGCGGATTGGAGATTGGTTGCTCGTAACAGCCGAGGAGAAGGCCAACGTGTTTGCCGCCCAGCACGTCCATGTCTCCCGCCAGGTGAGGGCGCCGAAGATCGACCGACCCGCGCGAGGACGACTGTCGAACTTCAGCCCGTGTTGCTGCGCCGGCTGTGACGGCGACCACACCGGATGCTGCTCGTCATTCTCCGAGGAAGAGCTGATCAGGGAGATACAACTTATCCAACTGAAGAAGTCACCAGGACCGGACGGGATCACCAACGAGATGATCAAGTACCTCGGCCCGGTGGCGCGCAGAGCCCTTCTTTACGGTATATAGAGAACTCCTTCTCCGCTTGATCCCTGCTCATCCCTGTAATGATTTTTGGTGTTCATAAATGCAGTCTTCCAATTTCGGTAGTGCAATTTTCAGGTCTCGCCCATATGTCTACAGCTTTGTTTCTTTACATATACCAGCTCCTCACCGGCATTGTTGATAGTGCCGTTCAAAATCGCAGCGTCCGCTGCCCGACCCCTATTAGATTAAAACGGCAATACAAGTACAAAACACGCCACGGTATACGTACATAAATGAGGAATTACACTATTATTACCCATTGGGTGGAAGAACGATCAGAAAAATTGCGAACAGGTGCAGGCAAGTGCAACAGCCTGAAATGAGAGTGATCACGGCAATCAAATCAAGTTATAGGTACATATACCTTCCACGCACTGATAAAAACTCCGCCCACTCGGTGACTATTTCTATCTATGCAATTGGACTAAGGTGGCATGGTTGGCGATCTACCAGCTGATTTAGAAGGCGCTATTTTACCATATATAGGTACTTGTTTGGAATGGGCTCGCCCAAATATCATCTGTTCATGCTAGTTTGCCATTCTTTAGGTACCTAGGTACCTATTGATTTCGACTTGAACGACATTTGCGACTGATTTCATGCGTCGTGTTTCTTTCAGGTCAGAGCGTGGGTCCTGAGATGCATCAGTAAAAGTTTTCTGACGCAATGTATGATCCTACAAATAAGGAAACGCCAGATATAGTGCCGGAGTCTGCAGATGAACTCACTCCTGCGTTGGGGTATGTTTAGCGTCTGCACACGTCGTTCAGTTTTGGCTCCCATGCATGTGTCATATCATATTACATGTGTCCAAAACAGCTGTCATACATTCATAAATACGTATGTAATAACACCTGCTTTCGGCTTCGTTATAATCCATTTTAACCTTAGTACCATTTACCACCATTGCTATCTTTATCCATGTACCGACTCTGTATCACCTCCGCAGACTGCCGGGCCTGCTGGCCGCCCGGGCTGGTACCTTTCTGTCGCCGGAGGTCGGGCCTGTGGCGCTCTTCTCGCAGGCCTCAGACGCCAGTACCCACTTCTCTCCCGACGTTACCGCGGCCCCGGCCCCACACCAGGCGGAGAAGGCCGCCACCGCGACCTCCCAGTTACTCTTCTCACCAGGAGAGGAGGTGGTGCACTTGGGGCGCCTCCCGAGCTACGCTGACACGGTAAGTGGCCTGTGTGAACTGGAATAGTTAATAGGAAATCCCTGGTATTTACCGGAGTGTTGAACTGGCGAGTGGCGAATATGTCTGATTAGCACAAAAATGCACGCATCTTTCACTTGCTCTCAATCCACTTCCGTTTCCTTATAAGTGATCGTTTTGTTCTTATCAACTCTGATGAATCGTTACGCTAAGCCATGGTTTCGTTTGCGGTTCCAGCCGAACCATATGGCCGTGGAGCGGTGTATCGCTCTGATGAGCCGGTCACCTACGGCTGCTAGTGGTCCGAGTCCGGCAGTCAGTCCGCGCCCGGCGCCCTCCGCGCCCTCCAGCTGTCAGCAGTTGGACCGGACCCCTTCGGTAGCCACCAGCCCAGGTCCGGCAGCGGCCGCCAGCCCAGGGCCGCCTGTCCCCGCGCTCCGGTGGCCGGCAGGGTCATACGGACTCGACTCGGATGGTGCGGAATCGGACGGAGGCAGTCTCACCGATTCTGTCAAACCCGATCAGACTGCCGCATATACCTCGGGCGGCAGCTATGGACTCTCTCAAACAGCACAGGCTCAGTACTCGGAGGGAAGCTATTCGGACCGGGGGCTTCCATCTGAGATGCCGGACGCTCGCCGACCTCCACCGGCAGCCGTCGAGTACAGAGGACGGCGGGGACGTGGAGGCAGAGGACAGACGCGATCCAAGCAGAGATCTGGCGACAAAACCAGCGTCAGAGAGCGCCAGGTGAGACTCAGCTTATAGTATGTATGTAAGGCATGCAATATCGGAACAATTTTCGGGACGGCTGCTTGTTAACCTCACGCGTCAAACGAGCAGAGTTCCATGTTTGAACATTAATTCATCCACTGCCTTTTCATTTCCATAGATAATCAATATCCGCGTAAAATGCTTTCATAAGTGGTATTCGTTTCCAAACTCTCCGATGGCATACCGTTCTATGCAAACTATGCGGCGCCCGTTCCAGTCCAACCGGGGGCGGCGGGACGACCGGGAAGACTCTGCCTCTGACACTCGCCACCAGCTGTCGCTACTTTCGCGGCTCAGGCAGACCCTGAACAGACTGCAGATTCAGCTCGATGATGATGGTGAAAGCATCACCATGGCCAAGCTGCGAGAGCTCAAGGTGCGGTCAAGCAAGTCAGTCTGTTTATAGCCCCACACCAAATGTTAAGTGAGTTGTTGTAGCTACTTTTCTTTGAGATGGGATGGTGGGCATGTGCCACTTCTTTCGGTTGGCGGAGAACGGAACCATGCTCAGCTATCACCACCTCTTCAATGTTTGCGCTTTGCAGTCAATGAATACCATGAAAGTCTATGTGTTATAGCTGAGTCAGAAAAGCGTGTATGCAGTCAATACCTATGACCTTATCTTATTCATGGCAGACACAATGTGAGGGACCGTCTTGTTTTCAGAGCCGCGTTCGTCCGTGCTCAGCAGCGCTGGAGTCCCTGACAAACGGATATATTACCAAGGTAAGTCCCGGGATGGTCAGCTAGCCTTGACCCCATGGTAAACTTAAATACACTTTGCATCATTTAGATAATGGCTTCGCAACACGCCCGAACAAGGCTATATTTGTAGATAAAGCTCGAATCTCGGAGGAAAGTTATTCGCACCATGGATTTTGAACTGGGATGCCGGCTGTTTTCTGTCCTCCAATAATTGTTTGAGTCGCGATAGCAGCCACAGCTGGTGGCGAGCTGTTTGTTGGATTGCTTGGTGCTGTTCGAGCTGTCAATTTGCAGCAGACAGCTGTCCGTAATCCGTTAGCCAAATGATTATGTTGACACTGGACATACACGGCACTATAATAGCTACGTTTCCATGACAGGTTTAGATCTAAATCGATTTAGAACTGCGAGGAAAGCCGGCTTATGAGATAAATGTTATGCATGAGGGATCTCGTTCTATCGGCATCTTCCTGCAATTACTGAGTTCTGCTAGAGAAGGAAGTTTCGGTCTATGTAGAAGTATAGAGCCATAAGAAAGCATTGGATCGAAGGTCGATGACCTCTATTTTGGCAGTTCGTGTAAACTTGTGTATCCATTTCTTACTCCCTAAAGACGGTCCAAGAGGATGGTTGGAAGGTTTGGGCTATTATGATGACTGATGAGAGATCAGATGCTTATTCCTTACATCGTCGGGAAATTAAACTTCCTGATAATCTGTCGCGCAACGAAATGTAGTATAAAGTAGTTTGAAGAAGCTCGTGGTCATAATTGATTGTAAGCACGCGCATGCTCGTGGCTCGTGTTTCATGAACGTCATGTCGTCATGTATAATAATTCACACATCGCAACGCCCAGGAGCACAATTACACAACAATTGTCAATTTGCGAAACTTTCCAGAATGTATCCACTCACTCAGTAATTTGAATGATTGAATCACGCAATATCGCACTAGAATGACAAAATCTTTGAGACTTGCGATTTCTCTTTGGGGGAGTGGGGGAGCCTTTCAGAGATTTGCCTACCATAATGAAACAAAACGCTGGGGAATTGTAAACTTGGCGATTTAATTGCATTATTTGTTTTAAGAAAGTATTCGCTTTAGATTTTATGATCGTCATTCTGCGAAGATTGACGATTGTTGAACGTTTTCAACGTCAGGATGTGTCACGGCGATTGGCGAAGGTTCAGGAGGTCAGCGACACGCTGTTGCTGCGTATAAAGATGCTTGAGACCAGATGTCGGCCAACGGACACACGCAACGGGTTGGGCACCCGATCAACTGGTAAGCATCGACTGATTTGTTGTGCATGTTTTTGCATTGATTGATATTTGTAACATTATATGGATATGCGTTGCATTGTCCTATTGGATTGATTCCGGTGTGATATGAGTTATAAGAGGAACGTTAGTGACATCAATTATTATGTGTGGTGGATTCGTATTGAGGTAGATTTGCGAGTAAATTATGAATTTCATTTACCTTGTACTTCATCAAGGTTTCAAAAACTTCAGCTTTTGCTTTTCCTCTGTCTCTCCATAATGCTATTCGGAGACTACCCTTAGCAAGATGTCAAGGTGGTGTTTATACGGAGCGATAGGTGTACACTGTGTAGGAGACTACTTCCGTGTCTGTCATCCTGTACCCCAATCATCAAATGAAATCTTTCAGCGGGTCGTCGAGTCAAGAACCAGAGACGGGACTCTCGAAGTGGTCCCTTTGGTCGGAGTCGACGAAGGGGTGCCGTGTCACCGGCTCCACCGCCACCGGACTTCGCTCCGTCGACTGGGCCTTCGCCAAGTCCGCCGTCACCCGGCTCACCGATCGGGCCTGTCGATGATGACGCGGACTCACCAAAGCAGCTGAGCGCTAAACCTACATCGCTGAGCGGACGGATCGTCGTGGTTTCCTCGGCTGCGCCCTCTGTTGCCGCCTCCTCTGGCCCTCTCGCCAACACTGCCGCTCCAGCCGCCACTGCAGGCAGCGGCTTCACTGCTGTTGCAGCTGCCCCCAGTGGAGGCGCCTTCTCTACCACCTCATCCGCCGCAGTAGGTGGCGCCTTTCCTGTCGCTCCAGTCGCCACAGCAGGCGGCGCATTCTCTGGAGCTGCAGCTGCAGTAGCAGGCGACGCCTTCCCTAGAGCTGCAGCTACCGTAGCAGGCGGCGCCTTCCCTAGAGCTGCAGCTACCGTAGCAGGCGGCGCCTTCCCTAGAGCTGCAGCTACCGTAGCAGGCGGCGCCTTCTCTGGAGCTCCAGCTCCCACAACTGGGGACGCCTTCCCTGGAGCCGCAGTTCCCACAACAGGTGGCGCCTTCTCTGCAGCTGCAGCTGCAGTAGCGGGCGGCGCTTTCACCGGAGCTCCAGCAGTCGCAACAGGCGGCGCCTTCCCTGGAGCTGCAGCTACCGTAGCAGGCGGCGCCTTCCCTGGAGCTGCAGCCGGACCCTGGTTCTGGCAGTGGCCGATGGGACTGCCCGCCGGGTGCCCCACCTGGCCGGCGCCGCCTTCCTGGTTTGGCCCAATGCCTTGGGACCGTCAGCCTCCGCCACCGGCCGTGGTCGCCGCCACTGTTGCGCCCCCAACGGCAGCCACTGCTCCGCCACCGGTCTTCATCTCTGCTTCTGCAACAGAGACAGCTACAGAGCACGCTGCCGAGAGAATGCAGTCCTCTGCGGAGCAGCAGAGCAGCGGAGAAGATGACAACCACAACATCCAGAAGATGCCGCCTACGACATCCGGTCTTCACGCAGAGGAAATGGAGGTGTGTAAACTGAAACAGAATATGGCTCTATCAATTATTTCTTTTCTTCAGTTGGGTCCGTTCAGTTAGCTTAACCATGCTTAATTAGATAATTATATGCTTAATATATAATATGATTATATAATTATATGCTTAATTATTATAGTAGGTTTCTAAATAATTGTCCACCTACGGGAACAGGCTTAAAGCTCGTGTGCCTTTCGAATCTAAATAGGCGTGCAATATTGATTGTGTTCTTGTTTGTCTGTGACCTTCTGTCTGATGTTTGCACAGTGCCAATTGCCCATAAGTGTTACAAATGTAGAATGCCAGACGGTTCCATTTCAAATGGTTGGTTGTCGCGACATATGACCTGGCTATCGACCATGTAAACAGAGCGTTGGTGTGGGCCACTCGATGGCGCGACCTTCACGGCGGCCATTACCGGGTTATAAACACCTCGTGCTCACTCAACGTTCCGTGCAATGGCGTAGCGGTGTATACCGGTAGACTTATGTTTCTTGTGATTCAGGAGATCAGCTGCCACCTCTGACATGACCGTCTATGCTTGCATGACCTTCAAACAAAAAATACGTACGAAATTGTGTACTCTGCCAACGCCCATTATGTAAACCTGACAAACACATTGACTGCACTCATTATTAAACGTTCCCAATTTTAGGAATCGACTGCAAGTTCACATCGAATTCACACATTCACATCGTCTCACCTTTCTGGCAGGGGGTCGCGGAGTCGAGCTGCCAGCGTGACTCAGAGGAAGTGGACGGGAAGGAGGACCGGTCGAGCGCGCTCCGCCAGCGCTCCCTCCTGCTCCGTCTGCGTACCGTGCGGCTGGTGGACGACTGTGAGCTGGCACCTCTCACCTGTCCCGGCTGGGATCGTCCCGAAACGCTGCTGGATGCTGGCGATGAATGGTGGAACTAACCAGTGACCGCCGCCCTGGGCTGCTGGTCTGTGGCCAAACTCTAACGGTTAGAACGAACGGCCAAACTCCAGTCCTATATCAGATGGCCAGGGTCAGATCTGTTCAGGACGTGCGTTATCGGTTAATGTATTCGATGAGTGTTGCCAAAAGCATTGGCTCAAACTTAAGTTGTTATAACTAGTGTTTTACATGTTATGGCTGTTTTATTCTTGATACCTGCTATGTTGTGTTGATACCGCGTTATTTCTCATCGTTAATTATGATGTAACCTGAACATTTATAATTTGATCATTACTGGTTGGAAATATAATTTAGTTTTGTTTATATGTCGTTGGGCACCATTCGCTGTTCAGAATTTTGATTATGTTAGTGCTTCTGCATTACGGTTATTGAGTAAGACGGTGAACCGATCAAGTAATAATGTATTGACTTCGTCATCTTTAAAAACTTTATGCGTTGGAATCATGTGTATTTATGAATAATTGTTGATGTTGTCACAGTAATCGTCAAAAAATGAATTGAACAACGATAGCCCATGCTGGTTGCGAACGGGCCCAGCCCAGGCCACCATTAGTCGTGATCGAGTTCAGTTTCATCACCATTCCGTTTCAGCTGCAGATAAACCCTATCTATTCTTATTCATTTGTCTGAGCCCACAGCATTATACTGATCCGCGAAGACTCCACCAGAGCCTCCTACCGGCGTCCCGACACGGGTCAGTCGTTACAAAACTAGCTCAGTATTTATCACACAGGAGCCCAGCTGCACCAATGCCCCGCACTGATTCGGCCGAGAATAGCAGCAACAGTAGCCGGATCGATTGGATTAGGTGTCCTCAGCATAGTATTAGGCCGACGAGCCAAGGACCTACGACAGCTTCTACGGGCACTTCACGAGTAGCTCCACGTGCTGTTAGTAGAGGTACTCGCGCTTACGAATCTGTTAATTGTCCCTAAATGTGACACTTTCCAGTCCGACAGTACCGACATTGTCCGTGTAGGTCTGGACTCTGGAGGGGGTCGGTTAGCCGGAGGGCCGGCTGTGTCAGTGAGGCCGACCCTTTGTTAATCCCCCGAGCTCGTGACCACTGACGAAGCGCACTTTCTCCCCGGATACCATTGCGCATGACTCGGAGAAACTGACCACCGTCTGCGTCTTCTTGAGGAAGTCCACGCCGAGCACCAGCTCTGGCGTGGTGTCTGAAACTGGGGGACGGATAGTGTTAGAAAAAGAACAGTTCTATGATAAACTTAGTAAAATACTTGTGCAGTAAATTTAGTAAAATGCTTGTGCAGTGGAGCATATGAACAATTGAACATTGTCCACAATCCTCAAAACTGCTGTGCAAAAAGGATTATTCTCGTTTCTGGTGGTCGAGGGCATTGACTGAATCGATTTTCATTCGGAGTCCCAGGGCACCCGATGACCCAAATACTGGCGAATGGGTCTAGCCACGCAACGGTCGATCAACTGAGCCAAATACGAACTTTCAAAGTCATGAAGGTCAGGGAGTGATTATCCAATTGGGTTGCATCAGATATGTTGCGTGCTCGACGGTACAGAAAGTGAAAGATTGATTTTGGGCAATGGCTCGTATTTGAGGTCAATCAGAAAAGAGTCCCGAAATCGTCATTTATCTCAATAACCGTATGCCCCCCTCACAAAATAAGTAATTCGCTTGGATGGGACTTCATGACATTGAAATCTGATTTTTGTGCTGTGATCCCTGGGCTTTCCAAGCACGACCCAAAGCTTTCTTAGTAGACAAGGTATCGAAAGATATGACTCACCGACAAACAGCTGCATGTTGAGTTGACTTTTTCCTAATGACACATCCATGTATTTGAGCTTCCCGTGTATTACTGGCCTTTCAAGACCTGTTGAAAGAGGCGGTGAAGGAGCATATCACCTTACATCCACACGGCCTGAATAGTGAGGGTTATGTTCGTCACATTCTGTCGGATACCTGACCTCGTCACATACATATCCGTCTGGGGACTGATGGCAGTATGGCATTCAGTAATATAGTTGTTACAGTTAGTATGCGAAATCCGTTAGTTTGCAACGCAACTAGTTTCGTTGCAAACTACCTGACCGGCTAGGTAGTTTGCAACGAAACTAGTTCCGTTGCAAACTAACTGACCGTCCAGTTAGTTTGCAAACTAACTAGTTAGGATGCAAACTACCTAGTTACTTTGCAACGGAACTAGGTGTGTTGCAACGGAACTAGTTGTAATGCGAAATCGACGAGGCAGTGGCTCTATTTGTCGGTTATATTCAACTTTTATGTAAATTTTAACAACGGTTGTCAAAACAAAGCTGTGTTTTTCTAACGGGTGACACTAAACATAAGACGGGTGGTCACATTTAGGATAGAAACAGTGAATTAACCGGATTCGACTACATAACGTTACGATCACTGGCGGATCCAGAGGGGGGGGGGGGGCGCCCAAAATCGCTTCGCCATCCACGCAGCGCCCGAAAGCGACAAATATTTGCTTATTATGAGAACGAAACGAAAACTGAACAACTTTTATAATCAAATGCTTGTTTTAGATTGCACAGCCGTGTGTATGTGTAAGGATTGGAACCAAAATCCGAAAGTTTTTTTGGAATTGGGAGAAACTTTTTGGGATTATGTGTCCCGCAACGTTTAAGACCATCTTTCTGGAACCGCCAGTGATCACCATAAATGCGTAGACATTACCCGCGCCCCACTGGGGGGGGGGGGGCTATTCATAGCCCCCCTCTCGTTTTTCTGCAATAACTTCTAGACTGCTTGACGTATCGCCGCCAAACTTTCAGTACCTTCGGCTGCATCGATTTGACACCTTGTGTCAAAATTTAAACTTAGTATCTATCATAGGTCGGCCGAAAATGACGTCAGAGTGACGTCATGTTCGGCCGATTTCGACGCAAAACATTGAACCACGGGAATCGCTCCCAAGAGCTCAGTTTTTTTTTTTAAGTTAGATCCAATTTCTTTTCATGAGAGGACTCAGAATGGAATGCGCTATCAAACTGCGATCATGAGTTTTCAAAATTTTGTAAACTTTGAAAATTATACATTTTAAAATTTCAAAATATGTATTTTTTTCAAAAACGTTTGGACTTTTCGAAAAAACGGAATATATATGATAGAACTCATGCTTATGACTTACTCTAGCAAGTTTTAGCCAGATATCTTAAAAAATGGCTAAGTTATACGCATTATAGCAAAATTTCACAATTTTAGATTTTTCAAATCAATTTTCTGTACGAATTAGACATTGTACACCAATATAAACAGCACCATCGTGTTTCTGAGCTCAAACTGCATCCGATAGAAATGCTTTTTTTTTGAAAAATTTCAACTTCGAAATTTGACCTTTTTTGACCTGAAAGTGACCTGACCTCAGCTATATTCAGATGACAAATGGCCTCAAATGACACAGGCGACACCGAAATCGAAATCTATGGCCTAAATGGACAATAAAACATGTGTCACGTGACCGACTAATGACATAAGATTTCCGTGACCTATGATGACCTGACCCTGACCTGAAAATCAAAGTACAAGTTTGGTACCCTCAGAGTATCTAAAGCATCTGCTCACGAGTGTGTAAACCAAATATCAGCCTGCTCTGACTTGTAAGACGGCAGCCAGAGCCCAAAAGGTGAATAAGCCAAATATCGATAATATAATTTTTACTTTGACCTGACCTCTGACGTCATCGTTGACCTCGAGGTCAATGAAATTTGGTTTCACTCGACAGTTTTTCCGGGGCTATCAGATGCCGTTTGAATTTTGACGATCGGCCCAGTTATAGTTTCGGAATTAGGAGCCCCCCCCCCCCCCAGTAGGGCGTGTCATACACAGACCCCAGTGGGGCGCGGGATAAGCGGAAAGTAAAGGTTCTGCTGCCGATTTCGGAATATTCCAGAACCGAGTCGCTGACGAGCTCCTACCTCCACAACCGATCAGTCTGTGACGCAACCTGCCCTTAAAGGGACCCTTCCACCTTCAAAAAAGTTAATGAATTGACATGAAAGTGATGTCGCTCGGTTCAGAAAGAGCAAAAACGAATATCTACCAAATTTCATCGAAAAATATTCACCGGTTTTCAAGATATTAGACTTTTACTTTTGTTTACTTTTTGGGATCTCCACTGTTCCTAGCGACTTTATTTGAAAGTGCGGCATTTGTTGCGCGCAAAGCAGCATATACCACCGCGTGCTACAAAACGTTTTAGTCAAACATTTAACGGACGTTCGAAAGCCTGATGACGTCATCAGATTCCCGTAATGGTTATGAGATAGGGACCACGCTGGTCCCACCCTGCAAGTAAAGGGAAGAAATTTCTTGAACACCATAAAGCTGCGGGGGTTGCGACCAGGATAAATGGTGGTTTCCGAGCCTGGCCGCAAACTTGGCTATCTCAACTCAAAACTAATGTTAAGGTGGGAGGGTCCCTTTAATCATTGGCTGTTACCGAATGACCCGGCACCGCTAGGTCACCTGGCTAGGGAAGTCGCAGTAGGAGTCGGCCGGTGAGACCGATTCTTGATCGCACGCTTACCCCGGATCACGGAACAATATGGGACAATACAGTTCAGTTCTGTTCTGTGCGGCGGCGGTGGTGACTGGTGTAAGTGTGTGTCGCAAAAAAATCGCAAAATGCCCCCGGAACTGCCCCTCCTCTGTAGAGGTGGCAAAAGATGAAAATTTTGGGAACCAGACTCGAACCAGACCCGGTTGGACATTTCTGGAACCAGTCAGACCCGGTCTTAGTTGGAATCGGAACCAGTTGGACCCGTTCCCCAAAAGTCAATTAATACAAACTATACTTGTAGGTATCATTAGTTGGCAGTTGCATCATGTAAAACAGCCTATTTCCAATTGGGAATACTCATGAGCTACTGTGTGCAAAGAAACATTCACTTAATTCACTTCATATTTTGCAATAATGTGTAGTGTGCAAGGTGTACAGTTTATGGTAGGACCCGGTTGGACCCGTCAGAAAATTTCCAGGAACCGGTCTGGACCCATATGGGTCCAGACTGGTTCTTTGGACCGGGCCCTCGGGTCCACATTTTGCCACCTCTACTCCTCTGGATCCGCCAGTGATCGTCACATTATGTAGTCGAATCTGGTAATTCACTGTTTCAATTTTCATCCATAAATGTGACCACCCTTTTTACTTGTATGTCTAGTGTCACCCGTTAGAAAAACACAGCTTTGTTTTGACAACCGTTGTTAAAATTTACATAAAAGTTTAATATAAACGACAAATAGAGCCACTGCCTCGTCGATTTCGCATTACAACTAGTTCTGTTGCAACACACCTAGTTCCGTTGCAAAGTAACTAGGTAGTTTGCATCCTAACTAGTTAGTTTGCAAACTAACTGGACGGTCAGTTAGTTTGCAACAGAACTAGTTTCGTTGCAAACTACCTGGCCGGTCAGGTAGTTTGCAACGAAACTAGTTCCGTTGCAAACAAACGGATTTCGCATACTAACTGTAACATAGTCACGTCTTCAATCAATGGCGGATACGATTCGAGGTCATGCATATAACTTGGACTTTGCGACTTGGGTTGGTGAAAAGCTAGTTGAATAATGAATACCTCTACATCATCTGATTCTGTTCGAAATAAATGCACCGAGCATCTAGCTAGACTCCGGACGGACGGTTGACCTGGGACGATGGCCACTGGTCTGGGAGGCACGCACAGTCGTACAATGTAAGTACATGCTTACTGTTAGCTGCAGCACAACCGGGGGCCGTAGGCAAGCACCCACAAGATGTCCGCTGCAACATTGGGGATGGGTGCAACTACCTGGTAGGCCTACAAGACTCACCAGACACACCCATCTAGGGACTGGTGGCACGCACCTGACAGCGGGCTGGGCGGCGTCGTCCGGTCCTGGATGACGTCTCTGGACATGTTGAACGCACTCACTAAACTCCGAGAGATTGTCGAGTAGACGTTACTTGTGTCTAGGAGGGCGTACACGGGCCTGCCGTTGCACTGCGAAAGGGAACAGGAGAAGTCATTACTTTTGGCAAGCCGTGCCATCGATACATAGGAGTGTCACTTCATTGATAGGTGATTACACTGCATAAGATATTTATGTGCGTATGTTAGGGCATCTCTCATAGTCATACCTATGTTTGCCTGGCAAAAGAAGTAACTAAGAAGCATACCTATTAGTTGTTTAGTTGCCACTTTATATGCACTATGCAGAGAGTGGCAACAAACATAACAATATAATTAAATGCCGTCCAGTTGATACCAATCTCACATATTCAGCTGAGGAAATGCCTCAATTATTAGTGTAGCCCGTGCTGGCTTTGCTAGGTTGTGAGTCGTTACTTTATATCTCTACAAGTCAGCGCGATCAGCGAGTGAATATTGTCATTTATGTATGCCTCAAGGCTATTAGTTTCTTAATTTAGCCGGCCGAGGCAATGCTGCCGTGTCTTTATAGCAGGACCAATTATTTATTTATGCGCCACATAGGTCCGTCGTGGATTCCAATTTCCAAATGGCAGCACCATGCACGCATGCTTTGAATTATATGCATGAATGCATATCGCATTTGTATACTTCAAGTGTAAACAACTAATATTTGAACATGGTCCCGAAGAGCCGAAACACACGAGCAAGTAGCAACAATGACGATCAGGCATACGGTTTTGCCATCAGGCGCTATATAGTAGCCGGTGTGAGTGATTGGTCCAGTAGCGTGTTCGGTGGGCGTGGCGCGACTCGAATCTATTATCGCTCGGACCCTGTATATGTTGCTATCATTCATCCTCATCGCCCTCATCATTATCGAGCGACTGAGCCCGTGGTTCCGAGTGTGACCGGTCATAGAGCGACCCGCGCCGTCTCTGATGCCCATAACACCCTGAATGTGCCCCATTAACCCGCGCCCCGTAGGGGGGGGGGGCGAAACGGCCCCCCCCCCTGTCCTTTTCGGTCGATATCTCCTAAACGGCTGGAGATATCGCCACCAAACTTTCAGGACCCCGTTCGTATTTCGAGAAGACCTGTCAGGACTACAGCTTTGAAGATACAGAAAAATGATCAAGACATTAAAGGTGTGGAATTGACAGGGCTACAAAACTGCTATCTCGAATTTTTGAAATTTTTGAGTTTTGACCCCCAAAAATCAAAAAAGCATTTTTTTGGATATATTCGCCAAAAAATCCAAAAAGTTTTTTGAGTTTCGAAAAAACCGGAATATATGTGATAGTGCCTACCGTCTTCTATCTACATACCAAATTTCAGATCGATACCTCGTTTTTTGGCCAAGTTATAGCGAAAAAACTGTTCAAAAATGATGACGTCAAATTTTCAAACTCAATTTTTGGCAATTCTGGAACTCGTAGAGCAAAACGAAGACCACCATTAGACTCCCCGTGACGAGCTGCATCGAATCGATACCCATTTTATGCAAAAATATCAACTTTGAAATTTGACCTAATTTGACCTGACCTTGACCTGACCTTCACCAAAACGTGACCTAGGCTGGCCCCAAAGGCTGCCTAACCCACATAATCGCATTTGTCATGTAAAATGGACCATAAAACATGTATCACACGACACATTCATATTGTGACCCCCCGGTGACCTGACCTCGCTGTGACCTGACCTGGTATCAGTGACCTCAGATAGCAAAGTATGTGTTTGACGAACAATGTACCATCGATGGTTTTCAATAAATTACCAATTTACTCGCTTTCACAGCACATTTCTTGAATTGCCTGTGAACGGTGAAAATCTGACCTTTAACCTGACCTGTGACGTCATCGATTTGACCTAGGTCAATGAAATTTGGTCACAAGGTAGTTCCCGGGTGGGGCTATCGAACGCCGTTTGAATTTTGAAAATCGGCCGGTAACTTTCCGAGATCTTAGGGGGGCCGATACGCCCCCCCCCCCCCCTACGGGTGGTAGGGTCCGCCGGTAGCCCTACGGGGCGCGGGTTAACGATTACTGACACCAGGCAAAGGCCGTCAGGAATCGGGTCGAACGTCCTGGCTGCTTCAGGTGACCGTCTGGCTGACTGCCGTGTTCGATGCTATATGTACAGTGGGTCTATTTAAGATCTCCAGAGCCACCACGTGGCGCTACGGTCGGGGTAGGGCGAGTCCAAATCCCGAGGGAAGTGAGGTCACCGGTCATTGTGGGGGAAGGAGGGAGGGGGAGTGACGCGGTATCACGGCGCATGGGGCGTGCGTAGCGCCGGGAGTGGGCCGCCCAGGGCCGCCCGCCACTGCGCCGAGGCTGAGGGGAGGGGATGATGGTTGCGGGTGCGTTCACTCCGGTATGGTGGTATCCTGTTCATGTGGAACCGGCAAGAACGCGACTGAAGGGAATCATTATCTCAAACAAACGGGCAAGCCAGAGGCAGCGTCAGTTCCAGCCAAAATGTTGAACAATGATAATTGAAACAATCTAGGACGTATTCATAGCATGCAACTTTTCAGTCGATAGTTGCATGATGCTTTTCATGATGCATGATGAGGCTTTTCTTAACTGGTATTTGAGTTAGATATTTTTCATTTGGCACGTTCAGTTTTGGTGGGTTTTATCGGGTCGAAAAGAATCAGAAAAGAAAAAAGAGTTGAAATGGCTCCAGACAAATGACCAAAAATATTTTCCTAAAAAATGAAACTTAGCTAAACGTTTATAAGCGATAATTTTGACTTTTGGGGAGGATATTGGGGAAAGATATTGGGGAAAGATGGCGTCGTGCTTAGCTGTGTTGCAGTAGAAGGAAAGGTTTTGGTTGTGTCTAGATAAAACCAGACCCGGGAGTGGGGCTCGAACTCACGACATCGCGTTCAGCTCACAGGTTACCCAACCTCAACGCTACGAGCACCTATCGCCCTGCGCAGCTTGCTCAGTGTTTCGGCTAAAGTTCGGCCAAAGTGTCTGACGTCTGTCAATGTCACGAGGCGAAACACCAAGGTAAATGTCCGTCCCGGTAGCTCGGTCGGTAGAGCGTTGGACTCCATGTGCCATGTGGTGAAGGCGGACGTCCCGGTTGCAAAAGCCCGGGTTCGAAACACGACGTGTGCTTGACGTTTTTTAGCCTCCTGACGGGTATGGTTGTGGTTGGTGGCAGGCCGCTGCCAGGCGAAGTCAGCGGGGGGACCGGCCGTGCGCGGCTATGTGCGCACGTTAAAATTTGGACTCTAAACCACAGACCATTTTGCCATAGACTAAACCTCAAAACCATAGTCTGCAATAGACCAGGAATTGCTTGATCGGAGGGTAGATGGCAGGTTTCAACGCTTAACAAGCTCAGCTTAGCGGGGACTCTGTCCTTGTGATTCCTTCCATTCAAAAGGTTCGGGCCAAATTTATATTAAAAAAGGGGGAGCCGAACCAGGTGTGGCCGAGTTGAACCAGGCTGGACCGGGGTCATACATGCAATCATGGTCAGACAAAACAGAAGTTAATTTCGGGTCAAATATTTTTTATTAACTGATCTTATTGTTTTTTAGCTTACACGTAAAATAACTTTTAGCTTTTTATAACTCGAGACTTCATGCACACAAATGTGGCGTTCGTCCACTTTTCCTCATCGTCTCTTAGCGACTTGATTTCATGTGGTGGCGGAACGGGGGTGGGGGGGGGGGGGGGTGGGGGGGGGGAGGGGGCATCGGGGCACCGTGCCCCCGTTTGATTTTGGCATTTTAACATTAGCCCTACGGGCGTTGCATGGAAAGAATGGGACCAAAAGTCGGCAGTGCCCCCACTTCATTAAAGGTGTTCCGCCGCCACTGCTTGATTTGACCCTAAAGGCGTCTTACCAGCAAAAAAAAAAATCACCTGCGTTATACCTAAATATTTGCCCAAGGGCGCTCTACGCAAGAAAAACGCCAGCCGGTCAAAAAACTGGCGAACGAATATGATCTCTCTAGTGATTGAATTATATTCAATGAAAATTTCAGGAGACATAAATAATCTTAATCCTTATAGCTAGGCGCTCGGAGCATTCGCTAGCATTCCATTGCCAGCCCAGCTGCATTATTAACGCCACATTTGCATTACTCTGGGTGCATCATAAGTAACAGTAGGTGAACCGGCCACAGCAAAACCATGCCTCATTATCCTTTCCTTCCAAGCTGCCAAGCTAGCCGGCCGCCCGGCCCACCACCGCGATATGGAACAACACTGGAGTGCGCCATTTGCCTACGGCAGTGCCCCACCGCGCCGGGGCTGTTTGACAGGTCACCCGCACTGTGACCTCGCCACCCTGCCTACGGCAGTGCCCCACCGCGCCGGGGCTGTTTGACAGGTCACCCGCACCGTGACCTCGCCACCCGCCCCCCCCTCCCCGCCCACCTCCCCCCCCCCTCCCCGCCCACCTCCCCATCGGACCCAGCTCGGTAGTGACCTCTCCTTGAATTTGACATGGACTCGACTAAGGCTCAACGCCATCTAGTTACGTCTGGAGATCCTAATAAGATCCACTGTACATACATGCTTAATATGATACGTTTTCCGGCGCACAATGGAACTGAGCCTATTTTGTTAATATTTTCTTTGCCTGTATCTAACATAGGTGTGTAAGCAGTACGTTCAACGCGAAGCGCATGTATGCTCAGGTTGAAAAGATTCGTTGCAAGTTGCAACATCTTCAAAAAAAAAAAACGGTTCTAGACAAACTTCCATCACTGTCATTCAAAGCTGTGAAATTTGAATGTTTCCGCCCAAAATCGTATCGTATGGGGCAAGGCGCAGAGATAATTTAATTTTAGCAGCAGCCCTCATAGCGCCTGTTGCACGACTCCCCATATTTGCACGTTTCTTGAAGGTGATGTGTTCTGAGTAGGGTTCGCCTGACAGTTGACACGTCATGGCGTGACCGAAGGACACAGCCTGGCTATCACGGCAGCGGTAGCAGTGCTAGGGGTGAGGTGCATCCGACCGAGAGACTCGGTGGCACACTATTTTATTGTGGCCCTGTAAATTTTGCATCTGACCATAGCACTCTGTGTACCGAAGGCCGAAGCCTATGGTCTGGCATAACAATACTCTGGAGAGACATGCGACATACATAATGCATGTGTCATCTATGCGATAAGGAAGGGCCCACTTCAGAGTGAGCGATTGGAGCTTTATCCCGCTGTTTGTTTCTTGCTCGTAATGGACGGCAGTCGGCAAAGATGCTGTACCTGACACATGATTACTTCAGGGCCGAGGGTGGTATGTGTCTCACATCACACAACACCTTAAAACTCACCTGACACAGCACTATGGGCGGCAGTTATAGTAGCTCACCTGACACAGCACTATGGGCGGTATGGAGCCGCGGGCGAGGCTGACCTCCGTGTCAAACAGAGGTACCGAGATGCGTGGTTCCCGGTGACTCTCCGCCGCCGTGAGCTCAGCGATGAACCCCTTCGGCTCATACCGCTTCTGAAAGGGACGGTCGGGACCGTCAGAGGGGCAGAGGAAGGTAATACCGGATGAAAAGCAATGGTCCCTCTATGAGCAGGATGCATTTTCACTAGATTTGGAGAGTGAATATTCTCAAATGATACCATAGAAGCATGTCATTGCTTTTCACACAATTTTTACGCAAGAGCATTTGGTACCGAATTGAAGTTCAGAAACACTCGTATATTTTTCTTTAGTCACGCGACTTTCACTTTGGTACGGATAAGGACAGGTTCTGTTACAATGTACTATGACGTCATAGTCACGCCATAAACGGTCGTAAAGACTCGGAGCCTCTTCCTGCATTTGTAATAACCTCAGTCAGGTCGGGGCGGACGAATGCCTGACCGGAAATGACGTCTTACGGGTCATAAAACCAGACTGCAGTCTGCAATGTGCTATGTGAGTCTATAGGCTCGGCTGGGGTGCATGACATACCAGGGGCATGTCTGACCATGGTAGAAAATTCCAGCGCCATTTGTGCCGGCGGTAAAGGTCACACTGCCGAGGCGACGTCGCTATGTCACGTCGTAGGCCGTGTATGAGTCGCAGGACGGAATTGAGGCGACCTTGTCACGGGGAGTGGCCTCCATGCTGTGTTTAGCCATTGCCACGCTACGCTGTCATTAGCGCGGTCGATAGCGCATGGGTGCAGGGGGCGGGGAGAGGTGGGTGAGCCTTTTGTGGCCCCGGCCGGCCGCAAGCTTTCATGATGCGATCAGGGGCGGAGCTGTTGGTGGGGCGGCTGCCCCACCAACTTGCAATTTTACCCCACCAATGAGCATTTTGCCCCACCAACATGAGCTCTTCTTTTGCTCTACAAATCAATCTTTTTCGCATTGGCGAGCTTTGGAATGTCTGTGCAATTAAAATTTAAAGATTATCTCCGTAATGATAGGAATTGAAGTAGCTCCATAGAAATTGTTTTAGTTTAGCATTTTATTCAAGTCGACAATCGGACATTGCACGTTTGGCGACTTTTTGCCCCACCAACTTCCCTGGAAAAGCTTCACCCATGGATGCGATGATACATAAGGCAGGTCGTGTGCGATGGCCAGTGTTTTTGACAGCTCACTGATCATGTATGTCGCAGCGTAATCCACGCCCGGTGACTGTGGCTCCTGACGCATATGCCATTAACAGATCCAGAGAGACGGTCTTGGACGCTGTGCGAGGGGCATACCCCGAAAGTTTCTCCTAATTCCAATAACTTCTCGAAATTTTGATTGCTCTGCACTGCTGTACAGTAAAAGTTTTTTTTTCGATAAAAGTGACCAGTAGGTATATAACGCCTTTTGGGGCGACTAACGGAGCGAGCGAGAGGGTGGGCCTTGCACGTGCGAAATTGCGAGGGGGTACCTCCAAATGACTTGTGCACGGCACCCTACTAACCGATCTCTAGCGATGTGCCAAATTTGGGCACAATCGGCCCAGCCGTTCTCGAGATCTGGAAGCGGCACCCTGCACGTGCGCACGTGCAAAATGGGTCCCAACTGACTTGTGCACGGCACCCTACTAACCGGTCCCTAACTGTGTACCAAATTTGAGCGCAATCGGTCGAGCCGTTCTCGAGATCTGGAATCGACCCCTGCACGTGCGCACGTGCAGCAGCACCCCAACTCTGGCACATGGATATGCAGTGCCTAGTGGGTGCCTACCTACATGTCAACTTTCAGCGCAATCGGCCAAGTAGTTACCGAGATATTGTAACAATTACAAAACTGACACCTCTTCGTTTTGCGCGTGGCACGTGCAAAAGGGGTCACCCACATGCATCGGGAATAGTCCAATACTTGGTAGAAGGAATGAAGCTACCCTACAAAAATTACCGCATGTAAATCGGCCAAGTGGTTGCTGAGATATAAGCCTCGCAAAAGCGTCCGCACGGCCGGCCGGCCGGCCGGCCGGCCGCTCATACTCAGAAATTTCCGTTAAAGGGACCCTCCCACCTTCAAAAAAGTTTATGAATTGGCATGAAAGTGATGTCGCTCGGTTCAGAAAGAGCGAAAACGAATATCTACCGAATTTCACCGAAAAATATTCACCGGTTTTCAAGATATTAGACTTTTACTTTTGTTTACTTTTTTGGGATCTCCGCTGTTCCTAGCGACTTTATTTTAGAAGTGCGGCGTTTGCGGCAGATGTTGCGCGCAAATAGCATATACCACCGCGTGCTACAAAACGTTTTAGTCAAACATTTAAAAATCGTTAGATATTTGCGCTGACGTCACACATTCAGAGGGGTATTCCTAAGCATTAGCCCCTCTGAATCAAAATGCTGCAATTTTGAAATTCAATATTTCCGATTTAAGGCATTTCTCGATGTTGTGAGTGCCGAAACCGGTAATTGTGAGCCAGGGACCCCATTTTGGCTATCTCAACTCAAATCTAATGTTAAGGTGGGAGGGTCCCTTTAATCTAAGGAAAGACTACGCTCGCTTCGCTCGCTCCGTAATAAATTGGATAACGATGAAAATGATTTCGGGCGCTATGAGTGGGAGGACCTTTTTGCCCCAAAATGCCCTCCCCTAGATCCGCCTGTGACCGAGTGCACGGAATATATAGTCTACAACATATATTCCGTGTCGTAGACTCCTATTCCGTGCCAAGTGGCGACGAAAGGCGTTTCTTCAGCCCCTCCCCTCACTTATTTCTCGAATCCTTGAATACGCAGTGACAAGCGGCAAGTGATGTTAAAGGAAAGGTTGTCAGTAATGATGACAAAGGCGATTACGATTTTTTTCAGTTTATGCGAAAAAGCCGATCCGAATTTCTCCAAAAGTACCTACCTATACCTATCTTTCTGATTTTGACATCTTTCGACTTTCAAACCGTATAATTTATCGTTCACATCGTGAAATCTCACAGAAGTATGTTGTTTTGATGTTTTTCTTCGAATTCCGCACCCATCCTCACCTTATCAAAGAGCGGCGACTGTTTGTGGCCGTTGGCGACCACCTCCGAGTTGGGTCGCAGCTCCTCGAAGTCGAACAGCGAGTCGATTCCGGTGTGGAGGCGCGAGTCGCGCCGCCGCTGCTCCCGTTTGGCCGCCGATTCATAAATGTCCTGCATGGCCACGCCGGCCGGCGAAGAGGGCGAGAAGTGTCTCTGACGGCTCTCTGTCCGGCCGCAAGTCACGGGTCACAGTTCAGGTCAGAGGGCGCTGCGTGGTCGGAGTGGACGGCAGAATAAGAATCACAGCAGACAAGAGTGGTGAAGTTTAGGTGTTTCTGGCACTATTGGTTTTCTACATGTTTGATGCCGCGGCACAATCGCTGTCCTCCAAAGACTCCGTGCGTCAGCTGTGGCTACCTGGCCAGCCTGTGATTTGATTTGTACTCATTCAATGCACTACCTGCCCAGTCAATCACTCCAGGCCAGTCACTCGATGAATAGTTCGGCCAGTCACCCGATGCTCGGGTACTCAGTCACTCAGTGTTTTGATTCAACTTTTCAGTCACTTTTTTCGAGTTGACTGGTCGTCCGGCGCACGATTTTCTCAGTCGCTCGGTGCCTAGTTCGCCTGGTCACTCGTTTTGATTCAGACTCCCCACTCACTCGGTTCCGGCTTCTCCAGTCACTCCTCCCGGCCGCTCAGTCACTCCTCCCGCGTGCTGAGTTACTCCTCCCGGCTTCTCCAGTCACTCCTCCCGGCTGTTCAGTCACTCCTTAGCTAACCAATCCAATCGCCTGCTGCCGCCGAGTCCAATCTCCCTCTGTCAGTCCAGTCCCTCGCTAGCCCACCAATCCAGTCACCCGCTGCAGTCCAGTCCAGTCGCCCGCTGCAGTCCAGTCCAGTCACCCGCTGCAGTCCAGTCCAGTCGCCGGCTGCCGAGCGGACGTGGGGCCGAGTCCGCGGGCACTGGCGGGCCGCCGTCGGTCGCCCCCCACTCCCAATACTATCGACCCGACGTAGCCAGGTAACCGCACTAACATTGATTGCTGAGGCCGCCCAGCCGGCGGCACTGCCTCCTTATGCTGTCATTGGCTGCACAGAGGCGAGAGTCACCGGCCGAGATTTGCTGAGAAATAGAAGGTTTAGGAGCTGGGCTGCAGGCTGGGACGCGATAATTTCGGCACACCCGAAACTATATCAAGCTTAGCCAACTTCAACGGCGCGTCACAATGATATGCATCTAACAGTCTGCAAAAAGTCGCGATAAAAATAGTGATAGTGGTAAAACAGACAGGTAGGTAGGGTAGGTACAGTATCGTAGGCGTTATTGGTAGGAGGTTATCCATATTCTATTAGAATTTGTAGGTACTCAGTGGCGGATCCAAGAGGAGGGGGGTCACATGGGTCATGCCCCCCCCCCCTTGAGGCCCGGGGGCCCAAAGACCTGCCAGGGGCACCACCGGCCTATCAGGGGTATCACAGTCCTGACAGGGGCACCACAGGACCGCCAGGGGCACCACAGGCCTAGCAGGGACACCACGGGCCTGGTGCCCCTGGGCCCTGACAGGACTGTAACGCCCCTGACAAGCCTGAAGTGTCCCCGGCAGGCACGTGGTGCCCCTGACAGGCCTGAGGCGCCCCTGCAAGGCCGGTGGTGCCCCTGGCAGGCCTGTGGTGTCCATGGCAGGCCTGTGGTGCCCTTGCTAGGCCTCTGGTGCCCCTGACAGGCTTGTAATACCCCTGGAAGGACTGTGGTGCCCCTGGGCCCTGACAAGCCTGAGGTGCCCGGCCATGACAGGCTCGTGGTGCCTTGCTAGGCCTGTGGTGCCCCTGGCAGGCCTCTGGTGCCCTTGCTAGGCCGCTGGTACCCCTGCGCCCGGAGAGGACTGGTGCCCCTGAAAAGCCTGAAGTGCCCCTCGGCAGGCCCGTGGTGCCCCTGACAGGCCCAAGGTGCCCCTGCGAGGCCGGTGGTGCCCCTGGCAGACCTCTGGTGCCCCTGGCAGGTCTGTGGTGCCCCTGGCAGGTCTGTGGCGCCCCTGGCAGACCTGTGTTGACTGGTGCCCCTGCTAGGTCGCTGGTGCCCCTCACAGACCTGTGGTGCCCCTGGGCCTTGACAAGCCTGAGATGCCTGGCTATGACAGGCTCGTGGTGCCCCTGATAGACCAGTGGTGCCCTTGCTAGGCCTGTAGTGCCCCTGGCAGGCCTCTGGTGCCCCTGCTACCCCTGCGCCCGGAGAGGACTATGGTGCCCCTGAAAAGCCTGAAGTGCCTCTCGACAGGCCCGTGGTGCCCCTGACAGGCCCAAGTTACCCCTGCGAGGTCAGTGGTGCTCCTGGCAGGCCTCTGGTGCCCCTGGCAGGTCTGTGGTGCCCCTGGCAGGCCTGTGTTGACTGGTGCCCCTGCTAGGCCGCTGGTGCCCCTCACAGGCCTGCGGTGCCCCTGGCAGGCCTCTGGTGCCCTTGCTAGGCCGCTGGTACCCCTGCGCCCGGAGAGAACTGGTGCCCCTGAAAAGCCTGAAGTGCCCCTCGGCAGGCCCGTGGTGCCCCTGACAGGCCCAAGGTGCCCCTGCGAGGCCGGTGGTGCCCCTGGCAGACCTCTGGTGCCCCTGGCAGGTCTGTGGTGCCCCTGGCAGGTCTGTGGCGCCCCTGGCAGACCTGTGTTGACTGGTGCCCCTGCTAGGTCGCTGGTGCCCCTCACAGACCTGTGGTGCCCCTGGGCCTTGACAAGCCTGAGATGCCTGGCTATGACAGGCTCGTGGTGCCCCTGATAGACCAGTGGTGCCCTTGCTAGGCCTGTAGTGCCCCGGGCAGGCCTCTGGTGCCCCTGCTACCCCTGCGCCCGGAGAGGACTATGGTGCCCCTGAAAAGCCTGAAGTGCCTCTCGACAGGCCCGTGGTGCCCCTGACAGGCCCAAGTTACCCCTGCGAGGTCAGTGGTGCTCCTGGCAGGCCTCTGGTGCCCCTGGCAGGTCTGTGGTGCCCCTGGCAGGCCTGTGTTGACTGGTGCCCCTGCTAGGCCGCTGGTGCCCCTCACAGACCTGCGGTGCCCCTGACAGGCCTGTCGTGTATACTTGCTAGACCTGTGGTGCCCCTGCTTCCTGGCAGGCCTGTGGTGCCCCTGGCGGGCCTGTAGCGCCCCTACAAGGCCGTAGGTGCCCCTGACAGGTTTGTGGTGTTCCTGGAAGGACTTTGCTGCCCCTGACAAGCCTGAAGTGTCAAGGACAGACCCTTTAGACGCCAGGGTCAAGTTCGTCGGACTGACAACGATTCGCTTACCTGATAACGTTTCTGGTAAGAACTCACTACTCAGCGTCCACAACATATATACACATAGCACATTCATATATACTTGCTTACAATTGGTAAATGTGGTTGTGGCTAAAAGTTAAGATACTGACTAAAAATAAAAAATAAAAAGAAAAAAACTGAAAATGGGGGCACCACCAAAATGAAGTGGACGAAATCCGTTGAGTTTTTAATTTTGGGTATAGGTAGGGGCACCACTTCGATTCATGACCGTCCCCTTGGAGTTTTCCTGGATCCGCCCCTGTAGGTACTCGTGCTGCATGGCAGACAGCATGCCTAGCTGAAACCTTCTTTGGAGTAGATAGACCCAGGGCCTATTTTAACATGTTAACTGGGGGGGGGGCAAATGCCTCCGCACTCAACAGAATTGCCCCCCCAGTTGTCGAGATTTGCCCACTTTAAAAATGAGCATAAAGGAACAGGGTAACAAACATACTACTGTGACTTGTTTTGCAATGGATGTCAAATGAGTCAGTCTGCAAGTAATGACCAGTGGTGGATCCAAGGGTGGGTCATATGGGTCATGACCCCCCCCCCCCCGCCCCCTTGGGTCCCGGGGACACCACAGGCCTGCCAGGGGCACCACCGGCTTGTCAGGGGCACCACAGGCCTGTTGGGAGCAGTGCTGGAAATGAGGCCACTTTCTGGTCCCGGCCTTTTATTCTCCGGGTGGGTGCCCCGTCTAGCGCTTAGCCTTTCGGGACCCGCTCAGAGCCGCGGTTGTTTTCGCCGCTCGGCCCTTTCGAGATGCAAAGTTGATAGTCACACGAAGTTTATTTGGGGCCTCTGAAAATGCGAATTCGAAATTAATCGATTTTATAAAACATTTTTTCTTTCATCTACATGCATACATTTAACAGTATCTCCAGACTAAGCTGGTTTGGCTGGCCCTAAATAAGCTTCGTGTGACTATTAACTTTGCATCTCGACTAGGGCGAGCGGCGAAAACAACCGCGACCCTGAGTGGGTCCCGAAAGGCTAAACGCTGGACGGGGGTAATCCACCCGGAGAATAAAACGCCGGTACCAGAAAGCGGCCTCATTTCCAGCACTGGTTGGGAGCACCATCGGCCTAGCAAGAGCACCATAGGTCTGCGCCAGGGGCACCACAGACCTGCCAGGGGCCCCATCGATCTCACAGGGGCACTTTGGGCCTGTCAGGGGCACCACAAGTTTTTTAGGGGTACCACAGGCCTGCAGGAGCACCATCGGCCTAGCAAGAGCACCATAGGTCTGCCAGGGGCACCACAGACCTGCCAGGGGCCCTACCGGCCTCGCAGGAGCACCACATTGGGCCTGTCAGGGGTACCACCACAGACCCGCCAGGGGCACCACAGGCCTGCCAGAGGCACCACAGGCCTAGCAAGGGCACCACGGACCTGTCAGCGACACCACGGGCCTGTCGGGGGCACCTCAGGCTTGTCAGGGCCAAGGGACACCATCAGTCCTTTCAGGGGCACCTCAGGCCTGTCAGGGGCACCAGAGGCCTAGCAGGGACACCACATGCCTGACAGGGGCACCTGCGGCCTCGCAGGGACACCTTGGACCTGTTAGTGGCACCACATGCATGTCGGGGACACTCCAGGCTTGTCAGGAGAACTATAGTCCTGTCAGGGCCCAGGGGCACCAGCGGCCTAGCAGAGGCACCATCGGCCTAGCAGGGACACCACCGGCCTCGCAAGGGCATCATGGGCCTGTCAGGGGCACCATGGGCCTGTCGTTAGAACCTCAGGCTTGTCAGGGGCACCACAGTTCTTTCAGATGCACTGGCGGCCTAGCACCATGGCACCATGTTTGGCCGGGATCGCGATTCGGCGTATGTCGCCTCGCATTAGCCGCGCGTTTGCAATCTTTTCGTGGTTTCAAACGTTCAA